TACTGACAGGGGCCATCACTGCAGCCCCTCCCTCACTACCGCAGCAAACTTGGAGCTGGGGAAACGTTCTTTCTTCTCTTCTTTCCTGGGTTATTAGAAAGACCAGCTGACTTTGTTCTGTTGTCTGAAGCTATGTTTACTTTCTTCCTTCATAGCCTCCCTGGCATGAGCTGTGCTGAAAAAGGAGAAAGCACCAAGAGGAGGGTTTGTCACCATGGCCATGACCAGCAGTGCAGCGGCTCCTCTCCCTAGGGTGGCTGGCAGTGGCAGGGCCAGGGTGCTCGGGTGGCCCTACAAGCTGGTGGTGTTGGGGGCCTCGGGCTTCACCAGCCAGTTCATGGCGGAGGAGGTCGTGTGGGCGGCCGCCGGCGGGGCGGTGCACGCGCCCTGTGCTGGGCCAGGAGAAGTTGCAGGCGGTGCTGGAACAGGTGGCCCAGAGACTGGGTAGAACCTGTGGGGATTTTTAGGAACAGTAGTTACATGAAATTTTGTTCCGGTGTGTCGTAGTTAAATCCCAGCCAGACCTAAGCACAACACAGCTGCTCGCTCACTCCCCCTCTCCCTGGGTGATGGGGAGAGAACCAGAGGAAAAAGGTAGAAAAACTTGTAGGTTGAGGAATGGTTTAATGATTACACTATTATATAACTTACCACACTTAGAATATTCCTGTGATATTCCAATATAATAATGCTACTACTAATACTACTAATACTTGCACACAGGGCATGTTCTGCCATTATGGTCTATTAAATAAACTTCTTAATCATATGTTGTACCACAGCCTCCTACCTCCGCCCCTTGTGGTCACCTCCAGCACTCATTGTTTATTTCTAGCCCAACACCCTGTCCTTAGTCTAGGCCTGGGTGTTGTTGATGCCTCATTTGGCTGTGCAGGTATTTACTCAGGAGTATCTGTTTTTTCTGGTTTAGCATGTGGAACTCTTCTTCTTCTTTTCCTAGGAGTATGGAGGATTTCCACATTCCCCCTGAATGCATGCCTGCCTGAGTAGAGGTAGATTCTATGTCTGCCAAGAGATTTTGTTCCCCCTACCTAGCACTTCTAGGAGTGACAGGGAGCTTAAATTCTGTTTGAGGAAGCAATGATTTAGACAGATCAAGGTCCACATTTTCTGAAACTTCTGCTGAACTCATCTTTCTTCTTCTGCCTCTTTTAGCTGGCACAGGTGAAAGTAGTTGGTCACTAGGCTGCACCTCTGGCTCCTTGACAATCTGCTTCTGTTATCAGCATTAGATGAAGAGTTTAAAAAATATTTTTCCACTAGCTGCTAAAACTAATAAAGTTTGTTTCCCTGGGTATTCTTTATTTTTTCCCCTCTCCTGCTCATTGCATCAAATTTTTCTGCAACTGGCCACGTGGCTCAAAAACAATGAGGAGGAAGGTACAGGAGAAAGTTGTTCACAAACGAGTGGCAAATTGTATAAACCTTAGAAGGAAAGCTAAAAACACAATTCCCTGAGACACAGACCATCTTCAAAATCCCTTCCCAGCTTAAGAGAAACCTATTTCCTGTTTTCAATTAGTAATGAGTCTTTTATCTGCCAAAACAAGAGACTAACAAGAGCGGGGGGGGAAGGAAAGAAAATTGCTAACTTTGTTCTTAACCCCCTTTTCTCTTCAAAACGGAGCAACAAGAAGAAAGGAGAAAGAAGACGACTACTATAAGGGATAAAACAACCTGGCCAGTGCTACAGCAGAGCAGCCAGGTAGCTCAAGCAGCAAAAAGATGCTGTTAGGTCCAGATAGCACCCACACACATCAGCCAACATGCGTCACATTAAGAGGGTATAAAGGATGATTTTCAAATCACAATAAGCAAACAAATCAATGTACACAGAAAGCTCAGATTTGGTAATACTGAAACAAAGTGAGTTCATGACCTTTTCGTTGAAAATTTCCAGCATAACTGGAAGTAATCTGTGAAGATGAGAAGTAACTAGAAGGTAAAATGTATTTGAAAAAAACCCACAAACTTATTGGGGTGTCATCCCACTGTAAAAATCATGCAGGGTACATGGATCAAGCCTTCCCTTCATCCCAACCCATTACATAAGCTTAATTCATGCAGTTAGTGATCAGATCCATACTGGTTCATCTGAACTCTGTTTCTTCTCCAGCATTTCTTTAACCTGCCCTTACGTGCATAATCCTTATTGCTGTCTAGGTAGACGCCATCATAAGTTTCAATAAATCATTTTAGTTATGAAGTTATTAAGCTTCTAGACAGCATTGTAGAAAATACAAGAAGTGCAAAGGTCAATTTTTGATAGCTAGGCAGGGTGACTCAACCAGTACTTATTTTCAAGGCTATTTTAAGAAAGGAAAAGCCTGTATTTCTGATTTCTGAAAGAACAGCTGTGGCCATATACATTACCTGTGTAAGGGTACGTGTAATGTGAAGGCATCTGCTACGTTACGCTTGTCAGATCGTATGAGGGTCCCAGTGCCAGCAATGGGTGGGACCACAGGTCATGGGGTGAGTGAGTTAAGCACCAGCAACCGAAGCCAGGTCACAGGGGACACAGACCATGTGTCTGCCGTGTCAGCAAGCAGGGTGGTGAGGGTCTCGGGGCCAGCAGCTGGACTGGGGACCACCGTCATGAGGCACATGTGTCCAGGGTGCCAGCAAGTGGAGGGTGGCTGTATTTTCCCCTAGCCGCTTCATTATAAACCCACCCTTGAGTTGCCATCTTGACGCCCTTAGCTGGCTTTTCCTTTTCTCAGGCTCTAAATAAAAATTCCCAGGACTGGTTTTGCTTCCATTTCCTTCTATGTCCTTCAACTTTCTGAAACCCCATTCCTTGTTACACATTATGTTTACACTAATATTCTTTTTGAACTGCTCCCTGGGGAAACTGGTTGGCACCCAAGAACTATGCACTGAATCCAAGTGACTGAAAAAAAAATGAAGGAAAACATTTTAACATATAATCAGATTAAGACTCCTTAGACTATTACAGAACTTTAGGAAGTTATTAGATCTCATGACAATTTTCTTGTTATTACTATCATTTTATTTTTCTTCCAAAGCACTGACAAATTAGGATAATTCAGTTGAGCTAGTTATAAAATATAGAAGCTAAAAATCACTACAAATTATTAATAAAATTAGCTAATATGCTTTAACTGATTTTCATACCAAAAGATATACTGTAAGTATAAATGACAGAAGGATGTTAAACCCTATGAAGCAAACTTCACTAGCATCTCATCAGTCAATTCTATTTGATGAGGAATTGGAGCTTTTTTATAAATAATCCCGAGCACTACACAAAACATATATACAGATTTGACATCCGTTTTCTATTCCTGTTTTGAGCTATTCGCTGCATTTCTGTGCAATGTGAAGTTAAAAAAATATTGCTAGGACTTCCCCCCATTCCACTTTGACCATATTTGTATTGTAGTTCAAGTACAAAATATTCAGAGCAAATAATTACTAACCTGACTGAGAAGTCTCACTCACACTACCACCTTCACACTGTCAATATTTGGCATACTTTTTAATCTTTCATTCAGTCATGAATACTCCCAAGGAGAAAACTATCCAAGTGCATGCAACTGCTGCCCTAGAACAACCTGTTCGGAGATAGAAAAATCATGGCCCCAGAAGAAAGTTCTTTTTCAAGCTTAGTCTGTTATTAATACATTCATCCATTAGGTACAAGACATTAGTGAACCAATAAATTATTTCTGAGAGTAACTGTAGAAGTTTTCACTAATTGAAAAGTTTAATGTCAGGTTCCACCATTCTGTAGTCTTCAAAAATTGCATCCATATATAAATTAACATACATAAAAATAATCCATTGTCTAAAAGACTGCACATCAAAATAGTACTTCCATGTGTGCTTTAAAAAGAATAGGTTTTTGAATTTATTTTTACAAATTGAAGCTTTAGAGGGACATTTACTCCATCACCCAAGATTATTAATGAAATAATTATTCAAAAATATGGTTTGTAACTAAGATTTCTGTACAGTTTTGTACCTTTTTCAGACTATTACGTTAGGTCTACCATCAGGTTTTCAGTTCTGTGATATGCAGGCTTCAAATATTGCAGAATATGTTTACAGACAACAATTACTTCAGTTATAGTAGCATTCTACTTAACCTTAAGAAAATAATTTTGGCTCAAATTTCAAAGTACATGGGTAATACCCCTTCAAATTTGATATGCTATTGTAAGCATCATACCTGCTATACAGTTGCTTTTGCTGACAACAAATTGTAAAAAATAGCAAAACATCTGAGGTGTGATCTAGTTTTATGAACTAAGGAGCAGCTTTCCCAAAGTTTAAAACAAACACAAAAAAATATTGCACGGTTTAAAATACAATTGTTTACATTCCGACTTCAGTACAGTACAACTTAACCGTGAACGTACGGATTTACCAGTTTGTATTGTGAGTCTCATTGTCTGTGCCAGAAGGTCCAACATCACTTACAAAATTTAAACTAGGATCTTTTAAATGTTAAATTCTTACAGGAATTCTAAGCAACTTTTAAAAAGCTTTTTGCCTCATTTTTGAGGGTCAGCAACTCTTGCAAACCAACACTAAGATTTCTGAGCAATACAGGCCATTCCACCCGCTATTCCCTCAAAAAGCTATCAGACAGTAAGCATATTGTGAAGTAGATATTTTTATTTGACATTCCTAAAATAAGCTGTATTTACATATTATATAAATGTATGAAGTCTTAATATAAAATAGAAAACTGCATTGACTGAGGAAAACACACTCCACATGGAGTTACTTATTGAAGACCTTTGTTTATGAAATTTTACAATAATTTATATAAATTATCTCTTCTAAATCAGATGGTTAGTTGTCTTTTTACTAATCCACACAATTTTGATGACTTTACAAACTGTGGTGTACATTATAAAATTAAAAAAACAGTTACAGCATCTTCCGGCGCACAACAGGCTTTGGAAAATTAGACAGTCTTTTTTTGTTCTTTCGTAGAATCTTCTCTGCTGCCTCTGCGGTTTCTTTCTCTTTGCTTTTTGTTCCATCCACTGGAGTTCCAAAAGGAGAGATTAATTTTATTTCCACTGGTGGAGGTGACCAAGAACCTTCTTTTCTTGGGGTTCTGAAAAATATTTTTTTTATTACCAACAGTATTTAGTAGAGGAAAAAATCCCCATGCAATTACAAAATCAATGCCAAAGAATTATTTATGGACTTCTTTGACAATAGGATCCAGGCAGAAAAAGTACATAAATAAGCTTCCTTTGGCTTTCATTCCTTGCCAGACTGTCCCAACATTCTCAGACACCATTCATATGAGCTTTTACAGCCCCCTACCCCAGCTTTTAAGAGGCAAATGTCCTCCAGAAAACATCTCCAGAAACAAGAAGTTCTCTTTACTCCTTGACTGACCCCCTCCTGCCTTGTATGGAGAGCTAAAGACTGGAAGAGTGTGCTTTCCTAAGGTGGAATAAGGCAATATAAGAGCACGTCATCATTGCAAAGAGTAGCACCCACGTGCCCTTTGCTGTCCCCTCCCTCTTCCGTTTCCCTGGGAAAACTAAACGCTTCAGCAGCGGAAAAGGTGCCTATGAGACCAGCAAGCTGGACAGGCTCCTGAAGTCAGAGCAGGACCGCACAGCCCAGTGAGGGAGAGGAAATCAGGGGGCTAACAGCTGAGCCATAACCACAATAAAAGAATGCAAACAAGCGTTGAAAAAGAATGTCATACTTGCTTGCTTTCTTCAATTTTGATTTTGCAGTTCTGCCTCTCTTCGGTTTTTGCTTTCCCACAGACTCTGTGGATTTGGTATCCTCCTCCTCTTTTGCTGGAAGCTCCTATGTTAAGGCAACAAAAAAGTTCCTCATGCACAAGTTCTTACACTTCTACAGAACACAAAAGAATGCTGCTTTCATGAAGAAGTCATGCCAAAGTTATGTCCAAAAGCATTACAGTTTCTCTCTGCAAAAACAAAGCTTCCACCACAAATCATTGTGCCACGCTAAAATACAAATTCTGAAATTAACAGATAACACACCAAGTAAGTTTAAAGAAAGCCAGTGTGCCTTCTGTTAAAGGCAAAGCAATACCTACTAATTCTTGACTTACACAGATTCAAGATTGATTTTTGTCACTAGTTTTCATGAAGGAGAAAAAAAATAAATTGTTTAGCTGATGAATGTAAAGCTCTCTTGAGAAATGCTCTCAAGGAAGAAGGCAAGGCATTGCAACTGGTTTGGAAAAGCAGCACAGAGCAAAAATCAAAAACATGAGACAACGAGAGTTTCTACTTACTGGTTCTTTCACAGTGTGGGAAATGCTAGATACATTTTTTCTCCTTGACCTCAAAAGAGGCGGTGAAAAGACAAATTGAGAAGACAAGTCCGGGTCCAAATCCTTAAGCTCCACAGGTTGGTCTGCTTTTCCAGCTAAAATGACAATGTATTGTTAACATGCACATACATTGTACACGAAGGGCCAGTGACATTAAGTTACAGCTGGTAATCAAGAGCACAGTAGCTTCCTGACACAAAAGGTCCAATAAGGTTTAAAAACACTCAGGTGGAGGCATTTTTCCCCTGGTAACTGCCTCTTGGGATGCATTATTTTACAGTAAATTACTTTCATAATCCAAGATATGCTCAAGAGGCATCAACAATCAAAAAAAATTCTTATCATGTACTCTAATAAAAGAAACCTATGCACAGTAACTCCACTAGCAAAGTATATGCCCATGAAAACCAATCACATAATTAAACAGCTGTATAGTTTGTTGCAAGATGCAGCTCGTTCCAAGTTAAAAACTGAACAGAATTTGGACGCATTCTCCTTTATTTCTCTATTGAGGGACAGGATGGCAATCACATATTAAAAGCTACCCTCCAGTTTTCGAAACTGATGAAAATTAAGCTCATGACAAAAATTCACCTTAAATTTAATTTCACTCTATTAACATCAGCCGCTTCATCTGTTTCCACAACAACTACCCAGCCAGCCATGTAGAGTTCAGAAAAAAGATTAATTGCCTCCTTCCAAATCTTTTACTTTCCATAGTTAGATTCTTCACAATACTTAAAGACATCCTAGCAGCCTGGTTTTTTTGGTTTACAGAAGAGCAATATGCCCTATTTTGCATTTATATATAGTGCACCTACCTTTGAAATTTTTTGTCAGCTTTGCGAGAGGAGGAGAGAAAAGGAAGGAATCATTTTCCTCAATAGACAGTTTCTGATGCAGGGCAGTTTTGCAGGATCTGGTTCTTGTAATTCGTTCAGTTAAAGTTCTTGATGTTTCATCACGGCCAGATGGGTTTATGTCTTCAAGCAGCAAAGGACTGCCACCAGGTCCTTGGGGCAAAGCCTCCTCCCCTGTGCTCTCCTCCAACACTGATTGTTTCTTTCTGCCCCGATACCCTGTCCTTACTCTAGGCCTGGGTGTTGTTGATGCCTCATCTGGCTGTGAAGGTGTTTGCTTGGAGGTATCATCTCCTTCTTCTGGTTTAGCATGAACTCTTCTTGTTCTTTTCCTAGGAGTATCGAGGATTTCCATGTTCCCCCCTGAATGCATGCCTGCCTGAGTAGAGGTAGATTCTGTGTCTGCCAAGAGATTTTGTTCCCCCTTCCTAGCACTTCTTCTAGGAGTGACAGGGAGCTTAAATTCTGTTTGAGGAAGCGATGATTTAGACAGATCAAGGTCCACATTTTCTGAAACTTCTGCTGAACTCATCTTTCTTCTTCTGCCTCTTTTAGCTGGCACAGGTGAAAGTAGTTGGTCACTAGGCTGCACCTCTGGCTCCTTGACAGTCGTTTCAGCACACTGTAAATTACTGCTTTTCACTCTTCTTGCACTTCTACTAGGACTGACTGCCATTTTTGTCTTATGGTCAGTGTCAATCTGGCCAGTTTCTTGATCTCCTGATGAACTTTTTCGTCCTCTAGTTCTTTTGGAAGTAGCAGAAGCAATAATGCTACCTTCAGCAAAAGACATTTCCTCATTCACCTCTTCCAAGAGTTCAGAGACAGCTTCCTTTGCTCTCCTTAATCCCCTTCTTGGAGTACCGGCTATGGACTGCGTACTGATGGCCAGTGTTTGTCCATCAGAATGGCTACTTTCTGCGTTTTCTAAATTGGTTGGTTTAGGCTTCCTGCCTCTCCTAGGAGTAACAGGCATCACAGGGATCTCCTCATCTTCAGCCTTTCCTGCTGCTTGAACACTGGAAGTCTCAGATGCTGCTTTGGCTCGCCTGGTACTTCTCCTCGGAGACAGTCCAAAAAGAACTGGATTGTCCGTCTTCAGCAGCTGCTGATCGCCTGCTGATGGAATAACTAGACTTCTACTCAGTTGCCCCCTTCTGCGTGTTCTAGGAGTGATGACGTTCTCTACCTGATGACTATTGGTTTCATCCTCCACTCCTTCTGGCACACTTGTTAAGGGACCTTTTGCCTTCCGGAATCTGGTTACCTTTTTACCTATGGTTTCATGAATAGATTGTTCCACAACTTCAGATGTAAATTCTTTACTTCTTGTGTCTTTGATCACATCCAGTAAGTTCTCAGCAATAGCTACCTTAATGGGTTCAGGCACGTATGGGAGAGCCTCTACAATATTTTGGGATTCCCGATCACTAGTTACAGTGGATACTGAGTTTGTAACATGTTCTTGGGTTTCAGCATTTCCTAAACTGTTCGCAGCTTTTTCCTCTGCTGTTGTGCCAGCCGGGTTAGAAGCAGCTACCAACACAGGGCCTCCCATCTCCCCTTCACCTTCTTCTCCTTCCAAGACTAAAGTAAAATTACTCTGAGATTCAAAAAGCTCTCCATCCTCCGCAGCTGCATCACATTCACCATGGTTGTTATCAGGCAGATCACATGCAAACTGTTGCTCTATAGTATCACAGCTGTACTGAAGATTGCCTGACGGATGTAGTTCACTGCTTGGTGATGCTTCAGGTGCTGCTTCTTCGCTTTGGGCTTTAACCACACTGCCTTCAATAACCTAAAGTTAAAACATGTCTGTTAATGCATTATTAATCACCAAACAGACTAACTTCAGACTGAGATAGGTGAAACTGAGGGCAGTGAAATGCTGCTTTTCCTTTCAGACCACCACTGAATGTAAAGTTAGAAGCATACAATGTACTCTCTACTACAGATAGAAGTTTACGCATTTAAAGCACAGAGAAGAGAGTATTCTGTGTATGCACTCACATGCTCCATTTCTGATACTTCTGTTCATGACTAACGATCGACCATCACCCATGAACAAAGGGAGCAGCTTTACCAAACAAGCTGCACACACAGCTGGCAGTAATCATCACATTGCTGTACTTTCTGGACTGGCTACAAATTCACACAGAGGGACCGACTCCCCATCTAACAGGGTAAAGTAGAATTACGTCCCTCAGGTTTAAAGTTACAGTCATGACAGCTGTGACTGCAACACTTAGTCAAGCTGGCCGGGTATCACACCCAACCACTCAACACTGCACTTTAAGCAATCACTTGGATTGCAGGAGACAATATATGCATTCTAAATAGCTCCATCTCATGGTTTGTGGTTCCCTGTACTGAGCAATTACAAAAAGCAGAAAAACTTTCACTGTATTGCAACATGAATGACTGCAGAAGCTTTGTGACCATCTTGTGTACCTGCTCCCTTCTTCCCATCACAAATTTTCCATTTATTCCCATAAGTGATTTCTGTATTCCCAAGTCTACAGTCATGTTCTCCACAGTGCTGGCCCAAATCCCAAAGCCAAGATGAGTTGAGTAAGTGACTGACTGCCTATTTCACTTCATCTGAAATCCGGGAGACTGAAAAGCGTTTTCTGTTACTTAAGACCAATCTATTTCTAGTATGCCTGCCTTGCGGTTTGGATTTCACTCTAACTGTTACGAAATCCTGTAAATATAATCCTGCAGCAAATGGACAGGATACTCTACATGGTACTTAGAGGACAGCCACAGTGAATCCAAATAACTCATCAGCCCCAGAAGTAACAACGTGGGCAAAGACCTGGGACAACTGAAGCATCTCTAGTTCTAATTTTCAGACCATGTGAACAACCTGTTAACATTTGTATTTTACAATGTTTAGATGTTAAAAAAATGTGGGTTTACAAAAAAAAAAATTAAGTAGCTGGAAATATCTTGACACTGAAATGAACTCATCATTGGGAATTCTGTTTATGTTAATAAGGAACAAATAGCAAAGGATCTCAGCACGTTGAAGTTCCAGTAAACCAAAGGAATACGTGGTTATTTCTAAAAATAGTTGAGGCTTTTTTTTTTTTTCTATAGAAACTGAGATGTTTTTGTGTGTCTTCTAATTGTCACAGACAGGACCGTCCCCAATTTGCAAAGTGTTTTCCATTTTGTAGAAAATGGGAAAACAGTTCACTTACGTTCACTTCCTCAGTTTTAGGAAGACTGTTGGAAACAGTTCGTTCTTCCTGTAGAAAAGGAAGATTTTCTTCAGCCTCAGCTGCTTCCCGGTTATGTTCTTTAGGTAAATCCACACACTTCCCCTGCAGGTCATTTTCTGAATGAGTACCAACCACATTCTTGCTGCCAAGGATACTTCTCACAGCTGGAAGAGATTTATATAATTTTATCTTAACTGCTACATAAACGACACAGGTTTAAGCAACTGGAAATAATGGAGGGAGCAGGACCCAGAAAGACAGTTCTCTATCCTCCCACATATACTGGGCTTTCTCCAAAAACCAGAAGCCAGAACTATCTACCTGGTAAAGGAGGCAGCCCCACAACAAAAAGGACAAAGAAAAAAGAAAATAAAATTATAAAAAGAGAAAGGGAAAATCAGCTGGCAAGTCCATAGAGAAAAAGATCAGAGGAAAGGGTGGCTGGAAAGGCACACGGACAGCTAGTTTTTCTTCCCAGCCTGAATACCAAGGATGCATCATCTTTTAAAACAGCAACATGCCCTACCACACAAATTAGTGGTGGTGTACGGCATTAAAATAAATACTGATCTCTCCCTCTAATATTTTAAATTCTACCAGTTTTCTCCATATCTTGATCAAGAACAGGAACGTTCGCTAGGCATTTCCTACACAGACTTTACTTGAGGAGGATATTCTCTCTACAGTTTAATGAAAGTTAGTAGTAACATGCTACTGCTCCTTCAGTTGCAGACTCCTGTAGTGGTCTGGCAAACTGCCCATTATACTTCAGGAGTTCAGCTACCTTAACTCACATCTCCAACACACTGTACGTACAGTCACTGCGTGCCTCTGAGCATTCAGAAAGCTGTGCACTTGTTACAGCTGGCATGGCTTTATCTTCTGATGAAGAGGACATTTTGGACTCCTGGCGGATTGTTTCACTTCGGGAAGAGAAAGAGAGAAATTCAGCATAATGTGTCAAAACATACCTTGAAGAGCTTTACAAATTACTTTCTCAATGTCAAACCTTCCAGCTTCAATACAGAAAAAATTACGAAGAGCAAGGAAGTTCCGTACCAACATATCTACATTCAATGTGTGACTCATTTTATGCAATGAATCAAGTTCTTAACATTCTTCCCAGCTATCTAACCCTAGCTAATAACATAACAACAGAGTTGTATTAAAGAATCATCTGTTATTTGTCCTCTGTAGAAAGAGTGCAACTGCTGTATGGGAGGTTTAGAACAAATGAAAAAAAGGTTGTACCAAATGTAACTTACCACAAACCCCAAAATAAACCCACTAAATCTACAGAATCTCAGTTGTAACTTTCCACTACACAATTTTCAGCCAAAAGCAGGGCTTATGTTCACAGGATCTGCTTAGCAGCCCTCACACTATCAGGAGGTTCATAGCGCCTGCTGAGTGAAGTCTTCCCCACCGTACCTCAGGCTCTGCAGTGATTTAAGAGAAAAGGCTCACACTGACAGCTAGTCATTCTGACTTAGATTCATGCCAAATTAGTTCTGTTCACAGACAGAAAGGAATAGAAAAGCCGTTTGATTTAAGAACACAGGACAGAACCAATACCAGGTCACAACCATCGTTTTCAAACACAGGAAAGCCAGCAGTTGCATGTTGTGTGCACACAAAGATCTATCTATTTTATCAACTTACCTTTCACTGTCAGTCCCAAAAGCAGCAGCTTCAGCAGCTTTAAACACCAATCCACCATCCTCTGGTAAGGTAAGACATCCAGTGTTTGATTCTTCCACAACTCCTACAAACACAGACAGGTGGATGACTTCCCTCTTGCACTTCACATCCTTTCTTTTTAAATGCTCATAGGATTTTAAAGCGAGCCTTTATGCATTTCACCCAGGACAGTGATCTAACAAAATAGTGCTACCAAGACTTTAAGTGCACAGAAGCCCTGAATTCTTCTTTCCAGTAAAACCACACGTCCAATGCATAATTTCCATCACAAAAACAAAAATACCTTTGATGGTCTCTTTACAAACTAAAGCCGATACGTTACTGACCTAATCCATAAAAACTTCAGAAAACATCCCTCCTTCTTAAAACTGGGTAGCAAGTTTTCTTCTTTCTCTTTGGATACTTATTCCAGCAATACTTCTTTCCTTCCTTGACACCATTTCCCCTCTTCTACAAGAATGCATCTAGGGTTTTGTTCTTTTCTCTAGTGATTGACTGGTGGTGTTGAAACCCAACTGCTTGCTAACCTGTTTTGATCTCAATAGGTTCCATTTTAGAAACATCCTCCTTTTTTAAATCTTTCTTTCTTTCTTTCTTTCTACTGTCAGCTTCCTCCAGATCCAGCAATTACCTTTGCAGGCGCTGTGCAGGACTGGGAGAATTTTGCTAGCTCTGGACAAACAAGAGCTATACTGACTGCCCTCTAATGCTTCCCAAGTACTGAGATTATACAGAAACATTTGTACCACATCCCAGCAATGACACAAGTTTCTTTGTAAGATTATTCTTTAACAATTAGCACCTTATTATTCTTAATGAAAAGCACCGTTAGCATAGGACAGGCAAATGTTTTGACCTGTCTTCTAGAAACAGATCTGGAGAACCCCTTTTACCCATGTGCATGGGGTCTGTATCTGGGCGCTAATGTTACTTAAAAAGAGAAGGAGCTGAGGAACCTCAACAGCAGCAAGCACTCTCCAGTATCCTCTGGAATCATCTCAGATTTAGGACTGAATCGAGATGCATATGATGCTCTGGTACTGGAGAACACACTCACTGCTACAAACTGTTTCAAGACCTCAGACACAGAACTCTGACACTTACATGCGTGTCCCAGGAACAGCAAACTTTTGTATAAAAAGAGCTGAATAGACTCAGCTCTGTATGGCAAATACTGACTGTAGCTGTGCTTGTACATCTCCCTCTTCATCACTGCTCACCACCTAGTGAGCTACATCTCCTCTAACCTGCCGGCACACCTGCTCAGATGAACACATCCTTAGCAGATGGACTGCCCTGAATGAGTTGAATTGAGCTGAATTACCAAAGACCAACCGAAATAGGTTTGGAAAAGGTTGCACAAGCTGTTGAGCCAGCAAAAGGAGCAAGCATGGCTGTAATCAAAAGCAGATATATAAGCAGACTCACTTCCAGAGCACTAATGAGGTGGTTAAAAAAAATTTAAAAAAATAAAACCAAATCTACCTAATCAAAGCCATACGCTAAACTTGCTGTAAAAAAAACGCACCCTACAGAAGTACCCCTAAAACATAACCAGAAGCCTAAGTTTTTAACTTGTATCCCTCTCAAAACTCCCACGAATGACTGCTGCCCCTCAGATGCAATTACATACAAGAAATGCCAGGCAAAGGCAGTATAAATTCGTAATGTCAAGGATACCTAAAAAAGGACTCAGAATACAGTGGCAACTTTAAAATCCCAGCACAAGGAAGCCCCTAGGACACTTGTGAACACTCATCATTAACTGTTGCATTCATCAGAAATTTAACCTTTTGAAGACATTTGAAAAATTCAGAAACTTAGGTTATCGTAGGATGAGACACACCAGCTTCTTTTCTGGGTTCCGACAAATCCAGTTGTTCCATCTGGAAAGGTTTGTCTCCAGCTGTTTCACTGTCTTTGTCCTTCTCCAATTCTTGAAAATCGTCAATTTCATGAGTGGAAGAAATAGCTGGTTTAGCAGCTATGAAGATGATATCATCTTCAAAATCGCCAGGTGAGTTTGCATCATGATACTCCAAAGTAGTTTGGTCGGACCTGTCAGAGAAGTTACTTTCTTTGCTGACACCCATTTTCTCCAAATCGTTTCCAGCTATGCTTTCTGAAGACTCTCCCATTTCAGCACCATCGTCCTCAGGACTGCTCTGAGTGAACAGAGCTGGTTTATCTCTACTTTCAGACCAAAAGTCTTCCCCCACTCCATGATGATGCTCAGATGAAGCTCCAGACAGTGCTTTATCATCTTCTGTTACCTTTTAAAAAAAAAAAAAATCACGATCAATAACATGCATATGCTTTTTGTCAAAGCAAGACAAAAAACCCCCCAAACATCTACTGATACTTGTAAGTTTTACAAGTGTCACCATAAGCAAGGCACTACAAAGTCCATTCTCATTCTAGCATTAGCTTAGCTTTTAAAGCTGAGTGTAAAACTTAATCACACTTTTGACTGCTTATTGAGTTTCCAAGACTTTGGAGAATTAAGATGAAGTGAGCCTCTACGTGCGTGCTTATACTGTCATCTCAAGGCTGTTCACTGGGTTCACTACTGTGTTTTCAAGAACAGGGAGCTTTACAAACTAAAAATCATACCTCAAAATTTCTTTTTTTAGGCTTTTCAATGTGTATGAACTACTAAACTATCTTAGTGTTCACTATGGCTGTAGCATGGAACAAGTAAATTAATCTGGCCACACTGCATTATTAATAAGAACTTCCTATTGAGGAGCTCTTTAAAACAGGCAATAGAAGGTATAGTAAAAACATATTAGGACAATTTGTTAGTACATGTACAGAAAACTCTAACATGTAGACACTAGCACATGCCCCCGTTCCGCCCCTGATTTTTAGTACGTTACTAGGGCAAGGGCATGATGAGCTGAATCAGGTAATCCAACTGACAGAACAAAAGCCAAACTAGAAGGGGGCAACTTTCAGGTGGACCAACATGATTTGACAACTGTACGAATGCTACCCCTGGTGCAAGGCAAGAAGCAACACCAAGAACTTTGGGGCTAGAGAACAGACAACAATATAGGCCTCTTCATCATGAGTCTCTTTTTAGTATCATTTAAGTAAACCAGCCTTGCAAAAAGAGACGGAAAGTAAATTCAGCTCACCGCTTTTGTCACTTTCAAAGATGTTTAATTCACAAAACTTACCAAGCCCAAACAACTGGCTCAGTCTACATGCCTTACCTTCCTGCCATACCACCATTGAAAAGGTAGAGCGGGAAGCTGAACTAGCCATTTGGAACAACCACAGCTCCTAGCAACACGTGAGCAAAAACTGCCCAGGTCCCTGGTATTGATCATGAATATGTTCCTGCAGGCACATCTTCTTACAGAAGGTCTAACATCACCTTTTTTGGACCCAATTCAAGTCTGCCATTTGGATTTGCCATTCCACTTCTCCATAGAAGGAGTTTTGGCTAACTTCACAAAATCTAAATCAAATCACGATCTATAAACCTTTAACTGTAAAAATCACTACCTACAGCCTAACTTACCCCAACAGTCCATTCTGCATTCGGGTTCTCTTCCCTGAAAGATATTCTAGCTTCCTTTGCTCGCAGAGGAGGAGTGGCTGATCGTCCTGGAGATGCAGAGGGAGTTGCTAGGGGTGTGGTGCGAAGGCTGGATCTGAGAATAGACTGAGGAGTAAACCCAGGAAAACCAGAAGCAGATGTGGCCATAACTTTAGCTCTCTATGAAAATAAATAAAAACACAAAATAAAAGCAGTTAGATTGTCAAAACAGAAGACTGCACTTGTCAAATGTATTAGTTTAAATTACAAACTGAGTTTGTACCAGCAGAGAGAACAAACTTTAGCCTCTCCACTGCTCTTTCACTATTAATTAATCAATCAATCCATGCACTAGACTAAATTATGTGACACTGCTGTAAGAACACTGACACATCTTCATCTAGAAGCATGCCGGTCTTCTTACCTCAGCTCAAAAAAATATGATTTTACAATACTGAAAGTGTTTTAAAAGAGGAAAATGAAACTATCTTAATGCTATGGACAATACTTAGTAACAAGAAAAACATGGTAATTCACAGAGACCACAGTTGTTTAGTTCAGGTAGGCAAAGGCCAAAAGAACAGCACCAAGAAGATCTGGCAGATGTTATTTCCTTGCATGGGAAGAGAATGATGGCACTGAAAGGAAATACAGTTCAACACAAACAATTAATAACTAAAATTGCTGCCAAAAGACATCACTGACTTTGACAGAGACTGACATCACTGAACTGACGTCACTTAGTTGTCATTCACTTCACTGCATTAAGAAACTGAAGCATATTCTTGCTTGTAGGTATGCAAGCTAAACTATTCAGAGCTAGTGTACTAGTTAACTTCAAGAATTAAATAGTTAAGCGACAAATTGCACCTCTAAGAATCCAGGGATATCAAAAAATCGAGTTTTAACTTACTTGGTTCCATGCAATAAACACAAGTGTATTTCACGAAGCTATGGGACAACATGCATACTGCAGTTAACTTAGAACTAAAATTTCCCTCTTTGAGACTGGTCCCAGCGTACTGCTGCCAAAAGGACTGCATATACAATAACCACCTGCATCCTGAAAAAATTCCACGGATTAAATACTTAGGTGGTTTGGTTTTGAACGAAGCTTACAGGCTTTTGGTATGGTTGCTTGTTAGTGTTTTTTGAAAATACAAACCTTAACCACAAGAGGAGTCTCTAGTAAATTCAGCTCTGATGCTCCTGAGAAATTCTTTTCTAAGATGGAACCATGTGTGTTGGATTTCAATGGGCTAGATGCCATGAATGAAGTAGAATCTCTGCATGGTGACCACCAGCTTCCACCCTGTGCTGCAGAACAGGAAGGAACAGGACGAACCACCGAATCCAGCAATCTGTTAAGACACACAATTTAAAACATGAACATAACTAAATAAATGAAATACATCGTGCTGCATTCAAGAAAGCTGAGATGATACATAGCAAAAACCTTCAAAGAAAAAGAAACACGGGTGAACCCTTTGTTGGGGTGATGTATCAGGCCCATGAACAACTTCCAGGCATTTGCTTTTTTTTAAGTGTTTCTTTACATCTTTCTTTACATCTCCATTTCTTTTACATCTCCTACTTCATTTCCTGAATCACTGCCTCCGAGGCAAGAGTAATCCAATTTTCAGTTGCACAAGTGATGTCGTTCTCATGTCAAAAGAAAATTCATCTACCTTCCAATGCTGGGACCACTTCGAATTCTTCACTTCGCTGCATCCCTAAGTTGACCTTTTCTTTAACAGGTACAAAACTAAATGCAAACAGAACACTTTGCAAGTGCAGAAGGTGCACGCACACACACACACACACACACATGAGAAGCAACACCTTTTTAAAATATTCATTCTGTAGATCTACCATACCTAGAAGATTTTTGTGAGAATGTTGTAACTGGTGATCCAACAAATGCATGGCGCACCACTGCATCAGGGACAGGACGTGTTATGACCGGTTGTTCTGTAACTCTAGGATTAGAATTAAAAGGAAAATGTAATGGACTTTCATTCTCCTAAAGCCCAAACATCTCAGAATTCCGATTTCTTTGACCATACCACCTGTAGGAAAATCACCTGTCAAGTACTAGCTGCTTTTCTGCTATTTATAATCCTACTTGCTTCTAAGTAAAAAAGGCAGAAACAAGGCAGAAGCTGCTCAGGAAGCGGTAAAAGACTACTTATTGATCACACAATCAAGTCTATCCAAATCTGTACACCAAGAGCTCGACGGTAATCGCAGCTTTAGGTTCAGCTATCTCATATTCTGCAAACACGTTCTCATAGCAGAAAAACTCTCTCTCCAAATATTGCTTACAATGAACTGGTTCTTAAATGTTCTCTATTTTATGTGCAAAAAAGTCAAACAAAGCTTTATGCAGGTCACCATCCCTGCACAACACTAACATAATTCAAATGGGTTATTTTCTCTTTCTCTCCAAACATATCGCTCAAGATTAAACTTGGTTAAAAGCCTGCTTACCTGTCATGCTGTGAGAAACAGGTTTTTTGCTCATATCCTACCCATACTTCTCCAATTTTTGACAATACATGACTGATGAAAGTTGCCCTTGTATGGACATTTCCTGCAGGAGCTTGTTTTGTTACTGCCGATAATGGCCTTGGTCTTGCAACTGTAAAGCAAGATGGAAAAAACATCAGCCCTGTGCCATCAAAGTGATGGTTAGTTGTCCATTATACTTCCCCCACTAAAAATTACCTTCTCTTAAGACTGATGAAGGCAAGTGGTAAGGCTTAGCCCTCTCTACAGCCAGCTTCCTTTGAACTCTAGGAAGGATCTTGCCATATTGGTCTAATATAGAATTTCTGGCCACTGCTCTCTCTCTCCAGCGAGGGTCACGATCACTCTGATGAATGTAAAACGTAAAGCAGAAAGGTAACTAATTACAGGAAGGTCGTTGCACAGAACGATCTGTGCTATTTCTAATTACTGCATAAATTTCCTCTACAGATACAGGAAAATGCATCCACTTGCACAGAACAGCAGCAAGTTCTACCCATCAGCACACACCAATTTCACTGTGTATTTTCAGCAAAGCGGAAGGAAGACTGGAATAATAACAGAACCTACAACTTTCAGTTACACAGTTCGGGCACTCTGCAGAACCTCCTGCTCATACACTGGCTATCACCTGCAACTTTCAAATGGCTCACACACTAGCAGGCTTTCCCTTTTTTTTCCCGAGACACCAGTGTCCGAGATGACTGACTATACAGGGCAACTGCAAATTACCTCGGACAAAAGGATGTGAATATTCAAAAGAGGAAGAAAAAGCTACCTACACACACCTTCTGGCTGCATAAAAGTGTCTCACAGATCCATAACAGAAGTTGACGTAACACCAAATTTAATCTGGCTAAGGAAATAAAGGACATGAAAAAAACCAACCCACCACACAAATCTTAGCTGTGGATTGGCAACCAGACTGCTCTCGGCTAGGAAAATAAGCAAGATACAAGAGATGACGTAACAACCTCCTCTTCATTCCACAGAAAGGAGTGACACAACCAACCTTCAATAGTCTAACCCATACCTAACACACCTATCTCAAGAACTGAATGACAGGATTGTCTGATAGAAAAGGTATAGATCTATTCCTCAGGTGCAAACAAACTACTTGAAGTGGAGACACCAACAGTCTGTAACATTTCATTTATAACCTCTCGGAGGAGCGTTGGAGGAGTGAAGTATCTTGTACAACCTTTAGGTTCAGCGCTAACTTAAGGTGTAGGAACGTACTCCTACTATTTCAAACAACAGTACAAAAAGCAAATCAGGGCTTTTTTATGCTTACCATAAGATTAACCTTCATCGACTGATTCAGCTCTAGTGCTGGGATATAGCTGGAACGCTGGAGGTGGTGGACTAAAAGAAACTCAAGGTTTTGAACACCAGCACTGGCCTGTAAAAACTTCTCCAAACATTCCTATGAGAAATGAATATTAAAAAAATTATTATGAGTCTGACTCTTCTCTTTTCCAAGACACAATTAGGATTTTTTTTCTTGTCCACACTTACCTGTTCAGTGTCTGTGAAAGGTAGCTTCAGTAAGTCTTCCATTAGTCCCATCTCCTGACAGATTTCACACATGTGTTTTAACAGCTCTTCGATGTTTAACTTAGTGGTATGTTGCCGTACCAGACCCCAAGCCTCTACCATGCACCTGCAATTCATTTTTTTGAGATGTAAAGGAATATGAATAGTATAAGCACAAAGATGCCCCAAAACTATGGTATTCAGAGTTGAAAGGACATTTAAGGGATCATGGTTTGTATTATTTGGTCTCTGCCTTTCCCAAGAGTTGAATGCCAAAATGCCGGCAAAATTTCTTTACCTGTTGGACAACAGCACAGTGAGGAAAAGCCACACTTCAGCACTGCTTGACACCGAGGGCTTCATCATCTGCAGGTACCTCAGGGCTTGCCTATGCTCTCCTTGGCACATGAGGGACTGAATAATTCTCCTGTGTTGCCAGGAAGCAGTTTTGATTGTAGCTGGATGAAAGAGCAGGGCCAGTGAATTCTGTAGAAGTTAAGTTAGAGATCGGGTTTACTAACATATACACATATGCATGCATTAAGGTTAATTTCTTCTTTGTCTTAATATTAATTTCATCTCAAAGCAGTTAAAATCTCAAATCAGTTAAAATCTCAAATCAGAATTTATTGCTTAAGATGTCGAGTAGTTTTACAAAAAAGCTTCTAGTGTTTTATCACCCGTTATTTAGCTAAGCACTAATTTTTAACATGATTTTGGAGATTACAGTTTTCTACTGCAGTGTCTGTCTGACTAACTTGTAACATACTTACTTCAAAATCATTGTGATCTAGAAGCCAAAAACCTTGAATAAGTTTAACAAGACCCCAAGGAATAGCGAAGGCAGTTGGGAAGGAGTCAATTGAAGTTTCTGTTTTATTCGGAGAGGAATGCATGATATCTAGCAGCAAATAAATGGTCTGGTATCAAGTACCCAGTTAAGGCTAATAAACTCCTAAGACCAAGAGTTTATCACATGACATTTAGAAAACCACAATGAGACAGGAATATAAAAGCGGTAGGAAGCGGAAAACACGCGTGTACTAGTCTCACCATTTTAAGCTATTGTAACCTCAAGACAGTCAGGTCCTAACCACAAAATGGCATTTAGAAAACGAATAATCTGGAAGAAATACCCTCCGATACCTGGAAGGCATTCAAAAAGGTGAACTTCAGGTATTTAAATCCTTCAGCTATACACTCAGGCTCGCTTTCTAGTCAGTGGAGCTACCAGCCGGACACTGAAAACGTTTGAACATCCAATGCTGAATTATTACAGCAAACAAATCCTACAGTTGTCTGTTTTTTTTTCCTCATTTCTGGAGTACATAAACCAATGTAAACTACAGTGTCCTTACAATACAACTTAGCTCTGAATGATTAAAGCTGCATTTAAAGGCACCTGTGGATCCCTCATTGGGAGTGTCACTTTCTCTTGCCAACATCCCTTTTTAGGGACAGATTCTAAGAAGACAGCTCTGGGGTGCCACCATTTTTCAACCCTTTGCTCTCTAGGCTCCCCTCTTGGGTCAGGCAGCAAACAACAAAAGCAATTCTGTGCTTTTCAGCAGATGAACAATTAAGTTTCTGCCCAGTGACTTTTCTCTTCTGCCTCTTTATACTTCTGTGTGCCTGCACTTTTAACAGAACAAAAGCAAGCACTGTTCGCTGTGCTGGAGTGGATGGTTTCAGCAAAACTCGGGTACCGGTAAACCACTGTTAGAAATCCTTTTGCTCTGGAGCAGCACATTCTGCTCCATCGTTCTAGGAAGCAGACATTTGCTACAAATATGGGTGCTTTGAAAAACTAAAATTGTGCTAATTTGTGAGGAAAATTAATGGAGGTTTTTATCTTTAATAATTCTTAGTAGACCTGTTTGCTCATATCAGAAAAGAGTTTGCAAAAAAAGATTAAAAAAACATACAAACTCCACAGCACAAAGAAATAAAACAATGCTTCTGTCTATGACTTAATTCTAAATGAAATGTTTCCTCTCGCATTGTGTTTGAAGCATGAATTGAAAATTGTCACTAAACGCGTAGGTGACACCACTGAAGAGCATTTATGTGCATGTACTGAAGGTGCAACACAAAGA